ACTTGTAAGGCATTTGGTTCAGCACTCCTGTTATTTAATTTGAATTTCCCTCTTGCTCATTCCTTCGTGCTGCCAGCCTGATAAATACACAGATGCCCCATGAGAGCTTGGGCCAACAAAAAAAACCTGTCAGTTCCTGATAAGATGCTGCAGCAGTAAGGGCTTCAGTTTTTTCTCCAAAAAAATACTCACTGTTAAAGCAAGCTCCTCCCTGAAACATGTTTGAATTCCAGAAGCCACCTCTGTGAGGCTGGACAAATTCACACTTGACTCTTGTTAAAGCACTGTAATGGTCACTTGACCTCAAATTGCATCTTAACATTACTGGCCAAATCAACTGGAAGCAAAAAGCACTGCTTGGGGTGATGTCCTCAGTCTCCACACTGAGCAGTTCTGGATTTTACACAAGTTCTGATCACAGGCTGCTGAGCATCCGAGGCACTAATAGCAGTTAGTAGAATTTAGTAGTTTTGGAATGCAATTTGATTATTTTGCAAACAAAAGTAATTTTTATCTACTGCACTCTGCAAACACAATGGGAGAGCTCAAAGTCAAGATAAATTGCTTTTAGTCTCATTGCCCTCAGTAGTAAGAGGTTTTTACATCCAACCTAAGTAACAAAGCTCTTAAAGGCAAAACTCAATAGAATCCAAATCTCTGGAGGTGGGGACATTTTCAGCATCCAAGCTCTAGTTGGAAACAACAGTTTTGGACTCCATTTCCCTTCTGAATGCTGAAGACTGCAAGGATGTTACTTGCAGAAAAGACTGTCTGTTTCAGCACAATGCTGCTCTCAGCATGGTCTGCAAACAGGCACTGCTGGGACTGAACACGGAAAATTCTTTGCAATGCGTAGGGATACTAAAAATACAGCTAAGGTGAAAAAAATACCCACTACAGCCAAAAAGGGGGGAGAACCTGGATATTGAAATGGAATGCAATTACTCAAGCTGGAATTTGCCCAGGACACTCTTGCTTAGAGTGATCTGGCTATTTAATGACAAGAAACAGCCAGGAACACGTATTTACTGCTGGCACCCCCTCTCACACCCACACCACCCTGCTGTCAATGAAACGGGCGTGTAACCAGAGCCAGGCTCCAGCCACAGCCCGGCTGCACCGTGCTGACCTGCAATGGGCAGGTCCACCCAACGCACTGCAGCTGCAACAACTTGTGTGACTACAACCCGAGGTAGTGTGTCCACTGACCCAGATAGGAACATTAATTACAACAGGAAGTTTCAAAGTGCTTAAGCTGCCCTATTACTGATACACTTGCCAAAAGTCACCCCAAACACTCTTTATTAACAAAAATGTTTACTGCTGCTACACTCAACACTCAGAATGAGTCAGTACCAGCCCCCAGAAAAACTTCCCTTCCCCCAAATGTGAAGTACAGGAGGCCAAAAAAGGAGAGTTTGGCTCTACTGTTTAGCGCTGCCTGACAATAATCGAAGTACAAATCAATTCTAAACATCTGGGGGGAAAAAAACTGGGCACTTGGGATTCCTATCACCCACTCCTAATCTTTGCCACTAAATTGGATCAAAAACCAAGAAAATAAGAGCAAGAGGCTCGGTGCTCTGTCTGAAGGAGAACTGCTGTTCCCACATCCGCATGTGACAATTCCCGACGCACCAGTGCAAAGAGCTCCTGTGCAGAGGAAACCAGGCTCAGAGCAAGCAGAGGTGACAGATTTTCAGGGAGATCAAGGGTGGTCACAAGGTCAGAGAGTCCAGTGTCTATGCAGCATTATTCCCCTAGCAAGACTAACAGGGTTACACGTACCTTCCAGTGCTGAAAAGGGTTTTGGGGTTTAGGGGCCTCTGATCAATGACAATGATGTTACATGACTGCCACAAATAATTACAGTAGGAGGGAAAGGGTGCTGATGCCTGCTGCTGGTGCTATGGATTTGTAGGGTGTGCTTGATTTACCAGGAATTTGGTTTTTCTGTCAAGGTGTCTTACTTTGAATTTCTGTATTGAATTCCTTCAACACATGGTAGAAATAAAAACCACAGGAGTTTTAAGAGCTGTATGACTAAAGCTCTTAGAAGAATAAAACAGCACATGGTCACAACAGAGGAGAAAAATCCCTCTGAAAGGTTCACTGGAAGATGGAGTCAAAAGGTCAAATATACATCACTTCCCCTATGTACAGCAGAACTAAATAACTAAAGCTTACCAGGGAGTATTTTTCCCTAAATAAATGTGATCCTTAGATGAAGCAAGTGTTTTCTAGCACAAGAATGCTACAAGCATTCCTATATAAGCTTATATTTAAATGCTTCAAGAGTTACACCCGTACTTCTTAGGAAATCCACTGCACCCTTTTTCCTGATAAAAATTATTCATAGAGCCCCACTATAAATTCAGAATGAAACCTGCATATTTAATGCTGTGTGCCCCTGCTGCACACACACAATCACATGCCAATGAACTGACAGAACGAAAGGTGCTCGCAAGCGTAGATCTGTAAATATTTACACTCAGTAGCCTACAAAGCAACCAGGCACGTGGACATCATCCAGAAAAGCATTCTAAAAATTAGTGTAACTATAAGTCAAGCAGATATTTTCAACCACCTTTTTTGTCCTCTCTCTCACCTCAGTAGTCAGGGGACAGCTCAGAGCTCCTCACACATCCCAAACAGTGACAGTAATACACACACACAAAGGTTGGTTGTATACCCTTCACCCTATTTAAGCCCTTCAATTTGACACCTATCAAATGAGGCAAACTTGCAATTAGCTCGCTTCCTATAAAAATGAATAAATTATCAGAAAAAGTTAGCAGTCAGGCTGATTAGAAAAGATAATATTGTATGTCTGTGTATATATATATCAATATAAATATACATATAGACAGATATGCATATATATTCATATATAAATATATACATATACAACAAATTATATATAAATTGTGTACATATATATATATATATACACATACATATATAAAATTACAGGAGTGCTGTAAATGTTTCTGAACAAAATGAAGTTAGCTTGCAAAGTCCCTAAAGTGATGCTGTCTACCTTTCTGGAATTGTCTACACTATGATCTGTTGGGTTTTTTAACGTAGGTTTTTATTTTAATTTAAAAAAACCCATCTAACAAGGTAAAGTCACATCATTTAAATAGCCAGGAAGAAAATAAGACTGATCTTAAAATGGATGCAGCAGCTTCTTTTAAAGAGCAACATGTTGCAATCACCTTTCATTTTAGGGGAAGGGAGGGATTCCCTCAAAGGAACAGAGACGGGGAGCAGTGGGGGGAGGGAGCCTGCGATTAAAAAAAAAAAAAAAAAAAGCGACTTGGGATTTTTAATTTTTTTTTTTTTTTTTTAGCTAAAAACTTTGCTTTCCCCTCGGTTACAAGGGGCTGGTGCCGGGGATGGCGGCCCGGTGCCTCTGCAGAGGCGGCTCGGCGGCAGCTCGGGGAGGAGGAGAAGGAGAGAAAAGCCACAGAGAGAGAGAGAGAGAAAAAGAAAATGGCGCAGAGACTAAGTCCCGACCGTCGACAAGGCGACTTTCCAGGGAGGAATCGGGGCCCAAAGGCGACCCCGGCAGAGCCGCTGCGCTCGGATCGGGGGCCTGCGGTGCCCCCACTCGGGGCGGCGGGGGTCGGGGGGGCCCGATCCCGGCGGGAAAGGGGCGCTTTTGGCAGCTCGATGGGAACAATGGGGCCGGTGAGCGCGGAGCCGGGACTTAGTCTCTGGGACGCCATGTCTGTGCGAGGGGCGCGCCGGGGCCGCACTCACCGTTCGCTCGGAAATCCGCCTCGATCTGCGGGGAGAGCACACAGGGACACACCGTCAGCACGCCCGGGTCCGCGCCGCCCCGGGGGACCCCCACCCGCGCCCTCACCCGCATTTTGAGGGGAATTAAATACTAAATGAGAAAAGCCCGGCGCGATGCGGAAGGTGATGGGGGAGCCGGTGAAGCGCCCCCCCGGCCCCGCGCAGCTCATGAGGGGACCCCTCCCGAGCCCCCCGAAGGGCAGCGAGCCGGGGCAGCGCGGCAGCCGCCCGCTCCCCTTCTCCGCCCAGCCCGGGGGTCACACGCGGGTCCCCGCTCCCACCGCCCCCCATCCCACCGCGGGGGGACAGCTGGGCTGACAGGGCTCTGCCCAGACTTATGGGGGCGGCCGCAGGGCACGGTCCCCGCGCTGGGGTTACCGGGGGTGGTGAGGCGGCCAGCCCAGGGCCGGCACGGGGAGATGCGGGCACCGCGGCGGGGGTCCCCCGGGAGCGCGCCCCGCGGGCGGGCACGGGGCGCTCACCTGGGAATCGTTGTGCAGCTGGTCCCCGCTCATGCCGGAGGCGCGGGCGGCCGGGCGGAGCGGGAGGAGCGGCGGGCAGAGGAGCGCCGGGCGGAGCGGGACGCGGGGAGCGCAGCGCGGTTGTGTAACAGACTAAGTCCCGGTTTCGGCGCTCTGCGCAGGCGCGGCGCCTTTTAAAGCGGCGGGGCGAGGACGGCCGGGTAGGGGGCGGGAAGCGGCCGCGCGCGTATTTGCATCCGGGCCACGCCCCCAGAACCGGCATGATTTGCATGCGGGCCACGCCCCGCCGGCGTGACCGCTCCGACCCGCTGCCCCCCCCCCACGGTGCGCTACGCCGGCTCGCTGCTTTACATATCCGGTCCCGCCCCTTCCTCTCCCTCATCCAATGGCGCGGCAAAACCCGGCACTCATTTACATGCGAGGCCCCGCCCCCTCCCCGCGGCTGCACGGCCCGGTGCATTGTGTAAGAACCCGTGCTGCTCCGTGCGCGTAGCGCGCATGCGCTGTGTCTCCGCCCCGCCGGCTGTATTTGCATACAAGCCCCGCCCCCACGCGCAGGCCCCGCCCCCGGAGCCGCATGGCGGGCGGGCTGCTCTGAGGGGAGGCGGTCCGGCTGCTCCCCGCGGTAACCCCACAGCGGCGGCCCCGCAGCCCCCGAGCACTGTGCGGCCCTCAGGGCTTCTCCTGAAGTCCCGCCGCGCCACAACCCCCAGAGGCACCAGCTCGTGGGCAATTAGAGCATTTCCTAGTGAGGGGAGGCGAGTGCGCACCGTTCCCCCTCGTTATCTCTGTGGCTGACCCCTCGCTGCCCGTCTCTGTACGCCGCCGCACCGGGCTGGGGTGCGGAGGCCGCGGGAAGCACGGGTAGATGCTGATGGGGGATGCAGATCAGGCAGCTTTGGGCTCACTTGACTCGTTTGAGTCAAGGACAGCACTGGTGCATTGCATAAAAGAGCATTAAAAAGGGATCAGCCCGCAAGGTTTTTCTTCTGGCATAAGCAGGCTCTTAAAATTTCTTTCTCCTGAGAGGAAATTGAGGGTAAAAGGGGGCCAAAGCTGCATTTTCTTTTAGGTAATCTGGTAATGAAGCACGTGCCTGCCTAGAAAAACACTCCTCCTTCCTCAACCCAAACCCGAAGACATTTATTTCTGTTCCGCAGCAGCTCTTACAAACGGTGTTCTTGTCGGTGTACTAAATGGCAGGTTTAGTATGCATGGCTGGTACGTGTCTCACAGGACTGCCTCCAGTCTTCTTGGAGCTTCCATCCTCTGCTGCAACACAGACTGTACCTTTCCTCAGCTTCTTTACACAACCAGAGCTTTGATTTGACACTAAAATAACCTGGCGCTGCCAGGCTATCTGAAGAGATACATCAAAATGTAAGCAGTGACAGCAGCCACCTATTTGCACTGCATATTTATATCCTGCAAAGGGAAAACTCTGTCACTTTCTTACCGTCTTCAGAAGAGGATCTGAGGACTTCCTTTTTTTTACCGAGAGCAGGCAAATATTTCTGGCTCTGGAGCTGTTTATTATGCAAACTGCTTTAGTCACTGTTAGATTTTTAAATATAAACATAATGAAAGGGCTGTTTCAGACGCCGGGAAGAGGTGTGTGCCCCTGGCTCACAAGAATGAGGTGAAAGCAGGCTTTGCCCTGGGTTTGAGCCCCTCCTTACTGCCATCCAGGGCTGCAGGGCTCTGTCTTTTGAGACAGCCTGGGCTGGCACCTCCTGCTTCCAACATTAGAAATTCCTGAAAGCTCTTCCTTTGGAGCAGCAATTTCACTTTAAACCTCGCATCTTTGCCTCCACAAGAAGCCCTGCTCACAAGACAAGGAGCCACCACCATGCCCGGCACGCTGCAGCCGCAGCCAGCCCTGTGCAGGGAAAGGCAGCACGGCCCCTTCCAGCAGCTGCCACCTTCACAGGCTGCAAAGCAGAGCCCCGAAACCGGCACACGAGGGGTTTAGCGCTGTGCTGCCGGCAGGAGCCTGCTGGCAGCCGGGTGGGAGAGCTCGGAAGGAACAGGGAGCTTCCCAGTTTGCTGTCTCGGGTCCTGACAAGGACCACTCCCGCGGCAGCAGTGCCACAGCCATTGGTGACGAGCACAACCTTGCTCGAATGTCAAACCCCTCTCACACCACGGGGAACCTGCAGCTCAGACAGCCGTGCTCGAGTGCCTCCCAGGAATCGCTTCCCATCTGCCGCACGGAGCTGCCTCCTCTGGAGCTGCTGGAAACCCACCGGGACACAAACCTGTGCGACCTGCTGCAGGCGAGGCTGGACTGGGTGTGCTCCAAGGCACCTCCCAAACCCAGCCATGCCGTGTGATCCCTTTTGTCCCCAGTTTTCCATAGGGTTATCCTGGGCTATGATAGGAGCCCTATCCACAGGACTCCTGCAGGGAGCCCCTGCTCTGCTGTTAGAACCCAAAGGGCTTCTAACAGCAGGGAAATATACAGCTTGTTCAAAACACATTAAACCGGAATACCTGTGTGGCCCCATCTGTTGCAACGAGCTGTGTGATAAAAAAAACTTCTGATCTCCAAACCTATAAGCAGCAGCACCACCGTCCAGGAGGCTGAACCTCCCTCACCTCCTTCCACGCTGGCATCCCTTGGCACACGGGAGGCTCTGCCAAAGGAGAGGAAGGCTCGTACAGGACACACCACTGTGAAGTGGTCGTGGCCTCAAGCCTGCCAGAGTCAGAGAAGCATTTGGACAACGCTCTCAAGCACAGGGGATTCTTGGGGTTGTCCTACGTGGAAGCTGGACTCTGTGATCCTTGTGCATCCCATCCGGCTTGGGAGATTCTGATTGTAACCATCCCTTTCCACAGAGGAGGCTGGCAGTGGAGGGGTTAACGTGCTTGGACCTGCTTCCCTGGCGAGCCTGTGCACACCCCAACAAGATAAATGGGGGGAGTTCACACCTCGGAGTGCTGTGGTCTCTCTCCAGGGCTCCCTGGGACCAGTACATCACCATCGGGTTAATGTAGCCTAGGTGATTGCCTGCAAAAAGAAACAGCTGGAAACTATGTGTTTAAATTAAACCATAAATCACCCAGGATACAAAACCAGTAGAAAAGCCTCCAGTTCTTGATCCTGGTGAATTGCGAGATTTGATTTATCTGGTGCACTGGGGACCTCATGCTGTGCTCAGGGTGCATGTTTTGGGAGAGGGAGGTGGGTGCTGTTTTCCTGGCCAGCTGTGCAGTCCTGTATCAGGATGGGATCCTACACTGTGCTCCAGCCCGAGTCCCCACTCTTGTGGACCACCCACACAAGAAACCTCGACATCCAAACCCCTAAACCCTCCACAGCCCTCTTTCCAAGCCTTGCCCTTAGCCTCAGGTGAAGCCATCTGCATTGTGTTCCTTCAGTTAATTCGCCTTTATATTTGATTATATGATGCATTTCAAGTTTGAAAGCAAAAGCCAGTGGTAATTAAATACACTCATGTCTTGGTATTTTTGATTACAGTATCAAAAGGTCAGGCCTTAGAGCTTATTTTGGAGGGAAGAAGGAAGAGCACAACACTGCCAACACATGCAATTTTATTAGTAGTCCCACATATCCAAGTCCACTTGTTTAGTTTTTCTTAATATAATTTTGTAAAAGTCTCTGCTTTTGTCAGAGGCAGCATCCAGTTTCTAGTATTTATGTTTAGGAGGAAAAAAAAAAGCAACAAACTCCTTCCATCTGAATACAAAACAAATGCATTTTACTTGTGAAGAGGTAAAAAAGAGCCAGTTACAAAACACATTTAAACCCAAAAATCTAATTTTTATGAGCCTGTCGTGATTTTTTTAGTCTCAGGTCATTTGTAAGAGCTATGGTTTGGATATTTCTATCACTACTGTATGGTTTTTTCACAGCCAGAGACCTGCCTGATGTGCAGGATTCCCAACTGGTGTCATCCTCTAAACCTGCTGCCTCTAGAACCAAGTGACACTGGTACAAAATAGGAACAGTCAGATACACGACTCCCCACTCATTTTTCATTAGCATGACCTGCTCAAAACACTCATACTTATTATGTACTGTCGGGTGCATCGAAACTAAATGATCTCAGTGCTCTGAAAGAAGTGCACTTTAATAAACTGCAGCAATTATTCACAGTTTTATATGTAAGGCAAGGGAGCAGATTAAGCAGAACCAGCAGATACGATTGTAAGTGGGAGCTTTCAAAGGTCAGTCTTAATTACTGAGTTTCACCTGGGATGGGAGAAGCTTACAGAAGTCCTGGGAAATTACCAGTTAGAAAACAATAGCTGATATCACTTGAGCTTCATTATGTCCTCATTTGCTTTGGATAAGAGACAGCAGTGGTAGAGAGGTTGGTGTAATGGAGAGGAGAACATTCGGATCACAATCCAAGGAGCACGTACCTGGATTTCCAGCTGACACTGCCAAGCACATACACACATCTGCCGCGATGGTTGGGGCTGCTGCATGGCCAGTGTGTAACACCAAATGCAGTCAGGCACAAATATTCCTCTGTGCCTCACTGCCTTCCTGCTCCTAGCAAATAAAAGTGACTCTCCTGCTTGAGAAAACAATGAGAAAAAAACCAATAAGCCCATAAACAACACCTTTCTTCAGGCTGGCCTCCTCATCTTGCCGTGCAGAGCAGGCAGTGGCCGGTTTTTGGAGGTTACCCCACCCCGGGGCTCCCAGCAGCAAAGCGTGGGCGCTCTGGGAGCCCCAGAGCACGTGAGAAAAGCCACCCTTGCATAACGTGGCAGGCGTGGGAGGCAATAGGATGGCTCTTTTAGAGCGTTCACATGTTGCAAATATAGCAGAGATAAGGAGCCATTTCATATAATCCGTGCCCCTGGAATGAATTTCGCATGAATTTAGGCTAGCTGGTTTCACTTTTATCTCCTGTAGTTGATTTCAGTGGCTGTTTCTCACAATGTGACATAATTCTGTGATGCAGATTCCTGACATTGCAAGGAAAAGCTCCCAAGGATTTCTATTCACATCAGAACTGCTATTAAAAAATACCCAGAGTTAAATTTGGTATCCACAGTTAATAAACGACTCTCCTTCACAGTACAATGAGATAATATTTCTCCTGTGTCTACTGTTTTCCATCCAAAGGAGAGAAGAATCCCCATTTTGGGAAAGAAACTGCTCACTTGGACTGTTTCCATTTCTGGAGTTGCGCCATGTGGAGAATGCTGGGCCCAGCTCCAGGAGATCCAAGCAGCCCAAACCCATCCAAAATCCACGGGAGCTCTGATAGTCGTCACTCCAAGTGCCAGTCCAGACGTATCCCAGAGACTGGCCCTGCTGAACTCGGGAACACTTTAGAAAAGGAGCCTTTAAAGACTTCGAGTCAGTGACAAGCACTGAAAATTCAGCAGAGACTCTTGGCACAGTTCCCCTGTGACGTGCCAGTTGCCATCACCCTCCTGTCCCATGCCAAAAAATCTACTTTTAGCTGGAGGGCTCTGAGACAGCCTAAACTCAGCCTAGCCTGGAAAACTCAGTAGAAGAGAGCCCGGCAAAATGTGGGGAACTCACCTTAAGCTGGTTTGCCCTCCAGGCTGGAGAGGAGTGCGGCCAAACGCGGGTGCATTTCGACTTGAAAGCTCGAGTGAGGTGTGAATTGCTCAGGCCTTAGTCAGGAGGTGACATGTGGCCCCATTAATGGCTTTATAAGCTTTGGTGGCCCCGTGCAATTTGGGGCACTTCCCAGTGAGAAGGAGAGCCCTGTGCTCCCGGGTCCGCTCTGTTCCTGCTCTGGCACAGCTCTCCCTTGGTGTCTGTGCTCACGGCAGGGATGGCCCCAGGAGCGCTGTCCTGCCTGGTGCACCCAGCTGTCTGGGGATCCCACCCTGCATCCCTTCCCTTCCAGCACACTCCTTGCACAGCCAGAAAGGCACTGGCAGCTCTTCCCGAGTGCCTCAGCTCTCTTCTGCGGCTCTTCCCGAGCTCTGGGTACTCTGGTACCCTCATGGCACAAAAAGAAATAGAACAGAAAGTCTTTTGAGAATTGACACTTGGTAAAGGTGAGATAGAGACCAGCCTTGCTTTTGGGGCTGTAAAACCCCTGCTTTAAGGAGGGTCTATTGTAACTTACCCTCTTTTTTGGGCCCTCTGTGCTTCAACTCATCTGGCAGAGAAAGCTCGTAGTTCCTCTGTGCCAGTGGAGGTGATGGGTGAGAAAAGCAGGTATGGGATGCTCTGCTGATCAGGTGAGAGTGACCCAAAGTAGTGGCAGCATTTTCAGCTCTGAGCTAATCAGCCTGATTAATACTTCCATCACTGAGCAGCTATAGCTCCAGGTGGGGTCTGTTAAGGTCCCTCTTCTCCCTGGAGGTGGGTTAGGCCATCAAACTGTGCCTAGGTCCAGCCTGGGTGCAAATCCTTGCACTAATACCAGGATGTGGTGAACCATCAGCAGGGGCAGAACATGTCAGGGCTGTTCATTCTGTGGGGCTCACCCCACAGAGCGAACCCAGCAGCATCTGCACCCTGGTGCTAACCGTGAATTCCGTGTCACAGCCAGATGCCATGTCCACAGGCAGCATCACAACAGGCTGGAGAGCTTTTGGAGGGATGTTAGTGTCTAAGCCTAGGGCTGTCCTGCTGTCAGGCAGGATACGAAAATCCTGCTGGCTTTGAAAATCAAATGGCCAAATCTGTATGATAGATAGCCCTGCTTAGAAATGTCCCTATCACTGGCTTTAAATGCATTTATCATGGTTTTTGCTGGATCATAAATCTTTCCTAAAATAACTTGCAATGTTAGTATTGTAACAGAGCTACAAAAGCCAAAGCATGAACCCTTGATCAGGAAATCCACCAAAACCTCAAGTGGAAATAACTACTTTAATGTAATTTTGTCAAGGAGGAAGTAATGAAGATACTTCATAAGGAAACAATAATCAATCTCAAAATATGAATGAAAATAATGATGGAACTGATTTTTAAAATAATGACATTTTTGGCATGCCGTTTTATTTTTAAAAGAGGGTTGTTATCTTCATTGGAATTTAGATTTTTAAACTCTCTAAACCCTTCTGGAACATTAAGAAATATTTCCATGTCCTGTAGAGCTCTTGATAATATGTGAGATGAATATTGTCAAGGCCAAGGATTTCATACCTCCTTTCAAAAATCCCTGGCCTAGAAATAATGAAACTAGATTTAAAATAATAAATGTAACTTTCTGTTTAAATTCTTCGCAATGATGTCTTGGAGGTGCTTTTTATTATCATTTATTAAGATGAGGTGGAACAGAAACATAGACCTGATCTGCTCAATATAGCTGCACTGATTTAACACAACAGCAAATCAGTTTAATTAGATCAGTGATTAGACCTTATGTGAGCACTCCTCCGTGCTAAGGGAAGCTTACACTGCAGGTGAATTACATCTTTGGGTCAGAGAAACAAACTGCTGGCTTAATAAAAATAACAACAATAACAACAACAGCAATAATAATAATGAAATAACAAAAACAACAACAATGCTTTTCCTTTAATACAGATTTTTTTTTTCTGGATGAAGCCAGAAAAGGGGCAGGTAAGTGGTGAGGAGGGAAGTTGCAATCACCCCCTGTGTCAAGGTGGTGGGTTAAACTTCTTATGGTGGTAACCTCTAAACCCTGTTCAACAACATGTCCTTGTTGGGTTGGGCAGGATGGAGCAAGGCAAAACACACAAACCATAGCTAGAAAAAGGGTTGTCCAGCAGATCGAGTCCTTGGTCTGTACCATCCATGTCTGACTCAACATTTGTGTCAATAAGAGAGAGATAGCCAGGCAAAAATCATCACTGCTTTAGAGAGCCCAGATGCTGTGGAGACAGCTCAGAGATGTGGATCACCAGCTAGCTAAAATGGTATTTGACCTAATCTAAGCCTCTGTCCAATGCTGATGAGGATGCTTATCTTTTGCTACTGTTCCCAGAACAACAGGAGCTCTGTGCAAGCAGCTCCTGGTGTCTGCTTGGAGAAGGGGGTAGAGCTGGTCTGGGCACTCACACAGGCAGCTGGCAGCAGGATCAGCCCTTCTCAAGACAGGGAGCTTTTCTTAATGTGTCTGAGGGTTTCTTGCAGCCCCAAGACCTCCTGGCAGCAGGCTGTGACACAGACAGCAGATGACTTCCTAAGGCTTGTATCGGGGCAGTGCTCCTCTGAATTCATCAAGGAGATATGTCAGTATTAACTCTAGGTAATAAAGCAAGGATGTGCAGCTGTAATTATAAGGAGAGGTTTATCCAGCTCTATGTGACTTGAAATATAGGCTTAAATATCTTTCTGTAGGGTTGGTATAAGCAGTGTGTTTGTAGGAAAGCAGCCTGGTGGCAAAGCAAAGCATAGCTCATATCACAGCCCAGCCACGTGGATGTGAAGAAGCTTTAAAAAATAAATAAAAGAAACAAGGAGCCCATGGGAAAGTATCACTTCAGAGCCTGGAGCTGGAGTGGGAAGACAGAAATAGTGGTTTTGTCTAGTCCTTGGTCTCCCTGAGTTCCTGCTGCTGTGGACTGGGGCACATATTTCCCTCCAGGGACACGGGAGAGGCTCCAGGAGCCCATGGCAGCTGCTGCAGCCAGGCTCTGTGGCTGCGAGGGGAGCAGCCAGCAGGGACATTGTGGGGGCGATAGGAGGAGGAAGAAAGGTTCAGGAGAGGATAGAGATGCAACTGTTGATTGCTTCCAGGCACCAAGTGAGAACCCACCCAGGTGGGACCAGCTCCTTTCTCACCTCCAAGCTGGGCCTCAGCTCGGGTTGCTGCTGCTCCTTGTTCCTTTTCCAAGACCCTCCAGACAGAGCAGAAGAAAGAGTGTTGGAGATGGAGCTGTACAGGAATGCCACAGAGCAGCAATTTCCATTCATTCTGCCCATGAAGACCACAGCCCCTGCAGTGCTGGGAACTGTTTTTTGATGATCATACTTAGAACAATCAAGATGCAGAAGAAATAAATGCAAATACACTGGGCCAGCTGCTGGCACAACACTGAGCCAAAGCCACTCTGAAAGCAGCAAGAAAGGTTTGTTATGGTTCACAGAGCTCCAGGAAGGGTCCCAAGCCAGACGTGCAGAGGGAAGGGGACACATGACACCAGGGCAGCCACTCACTTCCAGTGTGGTCTGGAAGCACAGGGTGAAATGCTGGTTCCTGGGAAGCTGTGGGTGCTGAGCATCAACCCCAGCAGAAAACATTTGAGATGTAAGAGAGCTCAGTGTCTGAGTGACAGCATCCTGATGAGCCCTGACCTGGCTCAGAGAGGTGCTGGAAAGGTTTTCCCAGGAGTATGGGCAGAGCTCTTGGGCACACGAGGTGTTGGGCAAGTGACCAAGCTGTCACTGTCAGGTTTACACGGTGTGCCTCGAGCGTGTGATGCTGCTGTGTGCTTTGCCAGTGCCGCGTCTTCGTTTGCAAGGAGCGTGTTGAAATCAGCCATCCTTCATCTGTGTTGTGTTAGCTGCTGGTAAAATCACAAAGCGTGAGCCTGGGGGTGCACAAGGGCTGCAGGCCAGCTGCTGGAATTGCCTGCCTGCCCGAGGTCCCAGTGTGATTCCAGTGGGGATGCCTCTCTCCCAGGAAAGCCCTCACATGGCTGGAGTGTGCAGCCCAGCGTAGCAGAGGGAAGCAGCACCCACACAGCCTGTGCTGCTGTGCCAGGGCGTGGGGACTCAGGAGCTGTTTCCCATGCGGCGGTGCCAGCTGGCAACCTGGCACAAGGCAGCTCACGAGTTGTAATCCAAAATAGTTCCCAACAAGTGGGCATGGGGCCAGGCTGGAGCTGGGAGGGGAGCGTGGCACTGTGCCCTCTGTGGGGTGCAGGTATTGCGCCCCAAAGCTCTGCCATCCCCGTCCTGTGCTGCTGCTGATGTCAGAAATCCTGCTGTGCCTCCTCCCTGAAGTGAGACACCCCAGGCCGGCAGGGCCTGCTGTCACCAGAGCAGGGCACTCATTCATAAATCCAGCCCTGGCTGGGATGGAGCTTAGGGGAGGAGTTGGGAATGGAGCAGGAACAGGGACTGCTTTGTTGGGATGGAGCTGGCATGGAGAGCCTGTGTGCATGGACAGAGCCAGGGGAACAGGATCGGTGGCTTTGTGGTGGAAAGCTCAAGGTCAGCTGCTGCTTGCACTGCTCGTGGCACGGCTCAGCCCCTGAGCCCCTGCCTGGGGTCAGCACATCCCAACCCCTGCTCTGGTCTTCCCAAAGCAGGCCTGGGAAGGGCTCACAGCAGGGAATGGTGTTGGGAAAACCCCCTTATGCCAGCACACAGGACAAGCCCCAGAGACTGCAGGCTCTTCTGGCTGCTCGCTTTCTTGAGGGTGCTCCTCAGTGCCTCAGTTTCCCCTGCTGCAAAATGGAAAAGGTGATGATACCTCCTTGAAGAGCTTCAGAGGGAAAATCCTGCAGGAGAAGCTGGCAAGGAGAGGAGCTGCCATCAGCATTGCTAGCCCTGAGGGAGGATGGGGATGGGTGCTGAGCAAGGTGAGAGGGTCCCATCTGGCAGAGAGTGGCAGCCTGGAGCTGGGCAGCAGCTCACGGGTGCTGGGCAGACAGTGGGGCAAGTGCTGCCAGTGCCCATGGCCATCAGCAGTGTCCATAACGCCTGCAAGGATCTAATCCACATCTCACACAGTGCTGTGACACCTGCAAGGTGTGAGTGGAGTCACTGGGGGCCTGTGCAGATCCTGGCCCAGGCATTCCAGCATCATCCCTTTCCTCACTGAGATGGGCCAGGTAATTTCATCCAGGATGGGCTCTGGGATCTTCCCAAACCCCACATCACTGTTGAACTCTGCCTCTCTGCCTCTCCCTGCTCTGCTCACACCTCTCCAGCTGCCCTGGAGTTACTCCTGATTTACACCTCATCTGGCCTCATTTTTTTTCTCCTTTGTACCAAATTGCTGGCGTGTGTCTGAAATCCAATTATTTTCATGACCATTATAAAAACTAATAAACTTCAGCAAAGCCTCTGGAAGCCCCATTGCTGTGTTTGTGCATCTGTATGGTCACCAGGGCAGGAGCATTAGAGCTGTCAGCACATCCAGGCCCATACAGGCACCCCTGGGGCAGTCAGACGTGGTCACAGTGCTTAGGACCGTGTACTGCACTGCCTGATAGGTAACTTAAACATAATGAACTTGATCAGCACCAACCCAAATTGCTGTGAGCAAGGGAACAGAGGGAAAGGGCTCTGGGAAGGGTTTTCTGCTTCAGCCAGAGCAGAATTACTGCTGGC